TGTGCCTTTCCTGGTGCAGGTTCATGGAGCTGGCAGAGGTCATCGTTGTCATCGGGGGCTGTGATAAGAAGGGCCTCCTGAAGCTGCCCTTCACAGACCTGTACCACCCCAAGAGCAGGCAGTGGACAGCCCTGTCCAGCGTGCCCGGATACACCAAGTCAGAGTTTGCTGCCTGCACGCTGAAGAACGACGTGTACATCTCAGGTGAGAGAGCCTGGAGCAGGTGGTCCCTTCCTGGGGACAAAGAACAGCACAAACTCTGCTTGGACAGTCACTCCTTAGGTCTGTTCACCAGGAATCCTTCACGTGTATCCCAGCTTTGGAGCAAAATCACTCCTCGGTGAAGGTTGTCCTTAGGTGGTTTGGATTTTTCTGTCCCAAGGAATAGTTTCACCTTTGAGGGGGAGGATGGCAGTGTTAAAAACCCTCTCCCTTCTGATGGGCATCTGTCAAGAGTGTCCAGCTGTGGAATGAGCTGCTTTTGGTGGGTGCTGTCAGAAGGGGTTTCCTTCCCTGCCTGTCCCTCAGTTGAAATACAGTGACTGCCAGATGAGTGCTATAAGAGGGATGAAACACTAACAGGGCCTTGAATTCCAGGCAGGATCTCCCTTGGGAAACTGAGTTTACATGGCCACAACCCCATAACCATGTTCTGGCCTAAGCTGCTCCATTGCTTGGAGGAGCTGTGCAATACCGTGGTGCAGTGAGGTGAGGGGGCTGTCCTTGGGATCACAGCAGCCCTCCATCCCTCTTGTTTTCCAGGAGGACACATCAGCAGCAGTGATGTTTGGGTGCTGAGCTCCCAGCTAAATGTCTGGATCAAGGTGGCCTGTCTGCAGAAGGGCCGGTGGAGGCACAGGATGGCAACGCTCCAGGGCAAGGTGAGCAGTGGCCTGAATTTGGGAAGGAGCCACACAGAGCACTGGCCCCACTTCTCCTGCTGCCCTGGACAATGAGGAACTGTCAGTGTTTGTATGCAGTGTCATCATGAGGGTGGGGAGGCCCTGGCACAGGCTGCCCAGAGAAGCTGTGGCTGCCCCATCCCTGGGATTATCCAAGGCCAGGTTGGAAGGTGTCCCTGCATGTGGCAGGGGGTGGGACTGGATGGTCTTTATTATCCCTTTGAACCCAAGCCCTTCTGGCATTCTGTGACTCATTTAGAGATGGTTTTGATGGGAGGACAACTGGGACATAACCAAGGTGTCACTGTTTAAGAAATAGCCCCAAATGAAGTTGTATCAGTGAGATCCACCATGGGATGGTGCCAGACCTCTGCAGGCAGCTGTGTTAATCATCTCTGGGTGAAAGCTGTGCGGTGTGGGGCATTTCATGGAATGGTTTGTGGTGGGAGGGACCTTTAGAGATGTTACTGTGGTTCTGTGTCATTCTGGCCAAGTCCTTCCCTCCCCTCACACACCCCGTGACAGTGTAGTCCATCCAGGTGACTCCAGGAGTTTCTAATCCCCTCGCTGTGCTCCTTTCGTGGCAGATCTACGCCGTGGGGGGCTTTGATGGCTTCTACCGCCTCTCCAGCGTGGAGTGCTATGACACCTTCTCCAACAGCTGGTCCACCCTGGCCCCGCTGCCCCAGGCCGTGAGCTCGGCCGCCGTGGTCTCCTGCCTCAACAGGCTCTACGTGCTGGGAGGGGCTGTGGATGACACCTCCAATACAGACAAGGTACTGCTGGGCCATCAAGGATGGACAGACACCTGAAAAAAGAGGTTTGGGGCAAGGATGCTTGTTTGGTTGGTTGGTTGTTGTTGGGGTTTTTTGTTTGTTTGTTGTGGGTTTTTTTGTTTGTTTTGTTTTGTTTTGTTTTAATAAGACTGATGGAAGCTCCGTTATAATAAGGTGAGGAGTCATACATTGAAATAAGAAGCCAGTGAGACTTGGGGTCCAGACAGGGAAGGTGTCAGGAGGTGACAGTGTATTAGATGTGCTTTCTGTTAGAGCCTGGTCAGCCCTGAGACATCACTGGAGCAAACCTTCCACACCAGATCAGCAGCAACACACTCCTCATGCCTGGCCGTGCATCTGCCACACGATGCTTCTGGCCTCCTGAGCTGCAGGAAGAGCTGTCAGTGCTGCTTAACTCCATCTCCAAATGCTGTCTGGGTCAAGCACAGCTACCCTGGGGCTTGTGGTTTGTCTGGGACACTTGAGTGCAAGAGGGAATGCCAGAACCCCTCATGCCTTTGCTCACCCCTCTGGGGGTTGGAGCTCCCACCCGTGTTTCTGTCCCCACGTACTTTTATTTCTAGTGAAGAGCAGCTCCCCCCAAGCAGGGAGATGTGGGGAATTTGTGTTCCCACAGCCGTGTTTCTCCTCCCAGGTCCAGTGTTACGATCCAGAGGATGACAAGTGGACGCTCTTGTCTCCCACCCCATTTTACCAGAGGTGCATCAGCGCTGTCTGCCTGGACAACATCATTTATGTTGTGGGTGGACTCCTCAGCAAAATCTTCAGCTATGATCCCAGGAAGGACAGCTGGAGAGAAGTGGCCACCCTCCCTGGGCCTCTGGTAAGGAAGAGCTTTAGGAAAGCTCTGGGTCTTCTTTCTCAATCTCTCTCTCTCTCTCTCAAATCGTGGCCATCTGTGCTTTGCTTGGGTTGAAGGCATGGAAAACACATTGTGGGTTTGGCTCTGAGCATGTGGATGTGACCTGTGTCCTTATCATCAGTGTCCACACTGCTTGGAGGATCTCTCCCGCAGCAAACCCAAGTTTTCTTGGGAAGCTGGGTCTGCACCATCTGCTAATGCCAGAGGAGTGGGTCTCTAGGGAGAAACCATTGGTGTTGAGGACTGTTCTGCACATTATCTGTTTCAGTGGGAGGGTTATACTGGTCTGGTCTGACCTGGGGGGTATCTTGCTTTATTGCCATCGCAGTTTTGCACTCACAGCCGTGCTGCAGTGTGAGCTATGGCACAGGGAAGAGGAATGGTGGGACACAGCTTGTGATCTGAATTAAAATGCCAAGAAAGCACCTTTACAAGTGGCTTTCCCTGGGAGGCACGGCCTGGATCCCTGTGCCCTTGGTGTTCCTGAGGGACTGCCAGAGACAGCAACAGCCCCATCACTGGCTTGAGGCATTTCCAGTGCCTAAACTCTTAACAGAAACAGTGAGATTGCAGCACCTCAAGAGCCACACATCTGTTGTCCTTCCTGCCGGGCAGGTCAGAGTTGGGCCCCTGGCAGCAGCTCAATGCCCTGCTCAGCTGTCTGAAACTGGAGGCCTGATTCTCAGCTTTCCTTGTGCTTTCCAGGAGAGCTGTGGCCTGACAGTGTGTGGAGGGAAGATCTACATCCTGGGTGGCCGGGACGAGAGCGGGGAGGGCACGGACAAGGCGTTCACGTTCGACCCGGCGACGGGGCTGGTGGAGCCGCAGCCACCGCTGCAGCGCTGCACCAGCTACCACGGCTGTGTGACCATCCTGCAGCGCAGGGACAGGTGACCACAGGGCTCCCCTGCACCCAGAGCCTCCCCTGGAGCCACCCAGCATGTGGGAACACTGCAGAGCAGGTGCTCCACCAGGCCCTGAGTGGCCTCGGGTTTGTTTTTCCCGGCCTCGCGATGGAGCCGATGGATTTGATGCTGATCCAGGTGAGAGGATGGAAGGGTCCTGGACTGTGTGAAGCTGCATCACAGACCTTGCCACTGCAAGGGACTGCTGAATTGTGCCCCTGGGACTGCTGAATTTGACCTTTGCTTAGGTTTTCCTGGCTGTAGATGAAAGTCTTCTGCTGTGCTTGCAACAGAGGTTTGCTGTCCTGGAAGGACGTGTGTTTGCTGCTTTCTGATGCCCAGAACTGTTGCTGTAACAGCTGCAGCTCCAGGATCCAATCCTTTGGCTAAAAGCTGTCAGGTATTTGTGCATTTATTATAGAACCCTGTGCCAAACCCCAGTGGGGACCTAAATGCTCATTAACATCCGCGAACAGAGAGCTGCGACTGGGAGTTCAAAGTTGATAATCCCAAGAAAATCACTCCACTAAATCCCAAATAGTTCCAGCTCTGGCTCTGCACAGGCTGTGTGAGGGTCTGTGCCCCCAAAGCACAGAGTGCTGTCTCTTTTCATACATGTTTTGTGGTTGGACTGCTGTGTCTGTCACTGAGTGGACAAGTGAATCCTGAAGCCAAGAGTTCCTTCAGAGAGGAAAAGGAGGAGGAATATTAAGGTGTAGGAATTAAGCATGAAGACCTGAAGCATGGCAGCCACAGAACTGTCTCATTTTGGCTGTGGAGTATGTAGCAAACATTAAAATAATCTCCATATTTAACAGACTGGGGTCCCTGGGAGCCTGAATGTGCAGCTCATTTGGAGGATGTTTGATTACACAGGCCTGCATTGCTCCAAGCTGCCCTCAGGTCTAGAAATGACCCTGAGCACGTTTGATTTGGTAGGATAACCATAGTTTTTGGTGTTGGTGTCTGTAGTCCGTGCCTGGAACTGGTAATTTCTGGTGGCTCCACGTAAATGTTCACGTTGTTCAGTTAGGGGCTGAATTGCTGCCAGATGTAGAGTGAGGGCTCTTAAAAACTCCCGTACCTTGGACACTGTGGGGTGCACCCCCCCACAGCAGGCTGCTGGCTGGCTGCTGTGCTCTCTGCACCTTCCTTTTCTCACCCTAATTCTTGCTGAAGCAGAGGAAATGTCTGTGTCCACTGGTCCAGCTATTCCCCTTTGCCTGTCCCAAACCTGCTGGCTCTGCCTGCTTCCCTCTGTGTTCACCACTAAACCAAGTCCTCGAGGGCCAAACCTACATGTTTTTTGACTCCACTACTTCCCTGGGGACCCCTCACAATGCTTCAAAACCCTTTCCATGACATTTTTTTCCTCTAAAATCTGATCTAAACCTCCCCTGGCACAACTTGAGGCTACTTCCTCGAGGATTTCCTCAAAGGAGATTCCACACTGGTATAGGTTATTCCCACGAGGAGAGAAAAGGAAATTCTTGCTGGTAAAAGACAATTTTATTTGCAATCGAATTGCATCCAGATTTGGGTCTTTAACGGGAACGGAGATTCCAAGAGGATGAGCCTGCCCAGAGCGGGCACTGAGCAAAGTCTGATCTGCTGAGGAGGTTGAGCGCTGTGGAGAATCCCTTAGAGAAAAGGGATGGTCCTCATGCCAAAGGTAAGCCTGAGGAATGTGGAACAGGGCTGGGAACACAGATGATCTTGCTTGGCTGCTGGTGGCTCTTTGTGCTCTTGCTCTTGAGCACAGTAATATATTTGGACAGAGCAATAGCCTTCAGAGTAAAAAGGAAGAGTTTTCCATTTGCATTTCCAACTTCTCTCTCCACAGTCTTCCCTGATTTTCCTAATGCCTCCTGGGAATATCTTGCTGTACTTTCCCCCTTATTCCTGGAGGAGTGAGCACACCCCAAAGGGTGGCAGATGTCCCTGTCAGCTTTCCCACGTGCTTTTGCCACGTGTGGTTTGCTGCAATAGGTGGGACACAGCGCTGGAAGTTGTGGCACAGACACTGCAACGTTTGCCTCGCTCTTGGTCCTGCTCTTTATTGTACCCCTGAATTGTGCTTGTGTTTTTGGGGGCTGTGGGTGTGCAGGGGAGGGGGAGGGAAGGAATTCAAGTTGCTTTTATTTAGAAATAAATGTTCACCTTGGCTCCCAGCTGCTTTTTGCTGCAGGGATTTCATTTTTGTGCCTATGGCATTCCAGAAATATATTGTTGATGGAGCATCACACCATCCTTGAGGTGTCCCAGCCTTTGTCTGGGATACCTAAATCCTCCCTGTGAGCAAATAGAAAGTTCAAGGTACTGCTGTTTGTCTGCAGGGACCGATATCTGTAACTGTCACATGGACTCATGGCCAAGTCAGTGCAGGGGAGGTGTTTGGATAATTCAAACTCTGCTAAGGATGGGGGAAATCTGACTTGTGTTTTGGCACGATGGAAAGAGAAACTGAAAAACTGCTTTGCCTTGGCTGTTTCTTGCTCTGCCTTGTTGTGGCAGAAAGACACAGAGCACAAAACTGCCCATCATCACAACGTGCTTCACATCCCGAGAGGACTTCCCTCGGCCCTCATGGGAAGCACCTCCTGGCTGTGTTCCCAGTAATGCCCAGACCTGCTGTGGGAGCTCTGCATGGCAAAAGATGTAGAAGGAAGTAGTGATCACCTGCAAAGCATGTGCAGTAGGTTCAGCTTTAAGTGTTTAAGCTTTGAGGAGCAAAATAAATTACTTTTTCCTTTGCACTCCGAACCAGTGACTGTCAATCACTTCCAGTGGTACCCAAACCATCCCTTCCTCCCCCAGCCCTGTGGTTTTCCTGCTGCCTGTCTCAGCAGCTGGGTTATTTTGGGTGTGCTTGTGTTATGGATGGGAGCCAGGGAGAAGAAGAAAAAGCTCTTTGTGAACAAATCACACGGGCGGTGTAGGCAGCAAGATCTTCGAGGCCTGATAAGATTTGTCCATGACACAAAACCCAGAATTATAAATAACCAGGCAGACAGGGAGTTGTGGGAAGCAAGTGGATCTGCTTGTAGTAAACAAGGGAAAAATGGCCTTTTTCATCCTTTCCCATGAAAGCTTTCACCCCTCAGAAAGTCCACGGTACCCCTCAAAGATAGAAACTGGGACCTCCTCCACAGTCAGTAGGGAAAAGGGACCCCACTAAAGAATGAGCCATGGAATCCCAGAATGGCTTGTGTTGGGAAAGGACCTTAAAAACCATCCAGTGCCACCCCCTGCCATGGGCAGGGACACCTTCCTCTAGCCCAGGTTGCTCCAGCCTGGCCTTGGACACTTCCAGGGATCCAGGGGCAGCCACAGATTCTCTGGGCAACCTGTGCCAGGGCCTCCCTATCCTCACAGCCAAGGATTCCTTCCCAATATCCCATCCAACCCTGCCCTCTGGCAGTGGGAAGCCATTCCCCCTTATCCTATCACTTTGTGCCTGTGTAAACATCCTGGTGCTCCATCCCCTGGAGATGTGGGAGCTCCTTTGCCCTGGGCTGCCCAGCTGGCAGGAGATGATATCACCGTGGGGCAGGAGGGCAGGGCTGCAAGTCCCAGCTGAAAGGATGAGCTAGAGCTGATTAATTCAGATTAAGGGCCATAACAGCCAGCTGGGAACTGGTGGGCAGAGATAAAAGCAGTTTCACTGGCTGTCCCTCTAGGTTTAAATATTCCCAGGAGAAGGAAGGCGAGGGAGGGAACTGTGTCAGATTTATTGCGAGGTTGATGTTTGCAAGATTTATTTCCTATTAAATTCAAATCATGGTCGGGCAAGCAGGGACCTTGAGACCCAGAACACTGGTTATTGTTGGTCTGAGCGGGGTCTAACACTGGTCATTGACAATCTGAGGGGGTCTAACACTGGTCATTGACAGTCTGAGGGGGTCTCCCATTAATGCCAGCAGAAAGGGGACTCGGGGGTAGGGCTGGGCAGCCTTTGTGCTCCCTGCTCTGGGGACAGAGCCTGTTTTCAGTGTTTCCAGTGCTCCTCCAAGCCCCCCAGAGAGACTGACAGCCCCTGAGTGCAGGACCTGCAGCAGCACAAAACAGGGGATCCTGCCCACCCAAACTGCTCGGGCAGCTCCGTCATCCAAGTGGAAAAGGGATGATCAAAGAGCAAAAAAAAAAAGCCCAGAGTGGATGCCAAAAGCAAGAGGTGGACGCAAAGGCTGAAGAGGAAGGGAAAATCCAGGATGTGGAGCTAAGCAGAGGTGATTCTTCGTGGTAAAGTACAATAAAGTTATATAAAAGCTAAACTGTGGTTGCCTCAGTGTTTAATTAAGGTCTCCCTATCTCAGCACATGCTGGAATATGCTTTGCTCCTTTCAATACTCCTGTGGCACAGGGGAATGGCCCAGGCAGGGGAGGCACTGGAAGCACAAGAGATACAGCAGCCAGCTCTGCAAAGTGTTTCTCCAGTCACTGGGGCCAGAGAAAGGCCAAGCACTCAGGTAGGAGCAGAGGTGGAGACAAGTCTCCCCATCTGACTTAAAGTACTTTACAGAGCTACTGGTGGTCAAACTCTGTGGTCAGTAAGGAGCTCTGGTTCACCTGCTGGTGATTGACACTTTTCTCTCCCTTCACTGAATGTAGAAGTGTGAGTAACCTCTTCTTGGTATCCTTTTTATCCATTAAATATATACCTTTAGAGTCAAATGTAACCAAAAACAACAGCAAAAAAATTCCATTTTCTTCTTGCCCTTATCGTTACTGACCAAAAGGAAAAAAAAAAAGCGTATCTTTTTGACAAATATTTCTTAAATCTCTCCACAGTTTTTAAAATGTCCGAGTTATTTTTGTCCCCCTGATGGCTGAACTCAGTTGAGGTGACTTATGGAATGATTTAGGTTGGAAAAGCCCTGTAAGACCATCGAGTCCAACCATCCCCAGCACTGCCAAGGCCACAGTGACCCCTGTCCCCGAGTGCCACATCCACAGGGCTGTTAAACCCTTCCAGGAATGGGGACTCCCCCACTCCCTGGGCAGCTGTGGCAGGGCTGGACAGTCCTTTCCACTGCCCCTATAACACCTTTAACCTCTTGGTGCTCCCTTTTTGGTGGGCTTTGCTCAGCTTTCGTGCCACCAAAAGGGGGTATGACCCCTCCAAAGCAGGAAACCTACCTCTCCCACTGACCCTGAGGGGGATGTGGGTGCCCAGAGTCCCAAGGAGCTGCTTTTCTGCTTTGTTTGCTCCAGGTTGCCCAGCAAGCCGGTGGCAGAACGTGGATTTCAAATGTACATCTCCCATAGTCTGTGCCAGGGCTTTTCAGCCTCAGTTCCTTCACTTCCTGCAGTCTGCTCCTGGCATGCAAACATTCCTGGGTACAATTCCCTGCTTTGTCTGCAGTGCCTTGGCCAAAGGGAATGGAAATGGGCTTTGCATGACTCCAATGCACAAGCACCCACCGGCTGGGGGAGCTGGAAAAGGCACCACTGGGCAGGCAAAGACGTTTTAGGCTTACAAAGAGAAGTAGGACAGTGGTGTGAATGTGAGAGTAAATGTGGTCATTTCCATTCAATCATGCACAAACTAGAGGTAATTTAACTCCCAAACAGAGGGGAAGTTGCAAACATGCTGAAGTGGATATTCCCCTTCATGTCATTAAGGAATGTCAAAAATGTCAATTCATGGGCTCAGGAAAGCCGAAGATAAAACGTCCCATGCCCAAAAGGGGCTCCAGGAGAGCTGGAGAGGGACTTGAGACAAGGGATGGAGGGACAGGACACAGGGAATGGCTTCCCACTGTCAGAGGGCAGGGTTGGATGGGATATTGAGAAGGAATTCTTCCCTGTGAGGGTGGGGAGGCTCTGGCACAGGTTACCCAGAGAAGCTGTAGAAGTGTCCAAGTGCCCTGGAAGTGTCCAAGGCCAGGTTGGAGCAACCTGGGCTAGTGGAAGGTGTCCCTGCCCATAGCAGGGGGTGGAACTGGATGGTTTTTAAGGTCCCTTCCAACCCAAACTATCCTGTGATTCTATAACTTACTTGCACCTTTTGTTGGTCCTGAAATACTGGATTGGAAGGGAGTTTAACCCAAGCCCAAGCTGGTTTTGGGGTCTAAAAGGCAAGGTTTGCCAAGGGCTCATGAAACACTTGGAGGACCCAAGAGCAGGCTCTGTTTCAGCTGAGCAGCACCAGCCTTCACATGAACTCCTATAATGTCCCTGTTGGGGTGAGCTCAATTTGCCTCCCAGAGATGCTTCAGCCTGGAGCAGCTTTTCTGGCAGAGATGAAGGGATGTGGGGGCTGCACAGAGATCCAAACCAGCTG